TCTTTCCTCTCTCTCTTCTCCTCTCTCTCTCTTGCACACACACACACACACACTTTCACGCACTCCCTCCGTCTTTCCCTCTTTCCCTCTCTCTCCCTCCCTCGCTCCCTTTCTCTCAATCCACGCTCGCTATCTCTCCAGCATTGTCAGTTTGGACACCTTCGCACATGCGCGCTGGACGCCCCTCCAACATCTCAGCGCCGCCAAAAAAAGTTTGGAGCGATTTATCACTTTGATTTGGAGATCTTGTCAGATGGCAATCGCCGAGGAGGCGGAGAAAGGGAGCCGCGGGGAGGGCGGCGGGGGGCGGGGAGCCGGCGCGGGGCTGGAGGGGAGCAGACACCTCGCCTCCCCCCCCCCAAAAAAAAGGGGGGGGAGAAAAAAAGAAAAATGAAAAGGCTTGGGCAGAGGATGGAGTCTGTGTTGAATCACCAATAAGCCTGTAGTAGAACTACTATTAGTGTTTGCTCAGTACACATTGTCAGATGTTTTTTACACCAGCTACGGGAAAACTAAAAGTGAGGGGAGGGGGAAAAAAACTTCAAAATAAATCTTTTCTTCCCTACTTAAAAAAAAAAAAAAAAAAAAAAAACCAACCAGAAGGGCTGGACTCCGGGAGAATGATCCAGGAGAAAGTGAGACTCCTCTTGAACTTGAGAAATCTGCTGGCTGCGGCTGCTCCTTCGACTGAAATGATCGCGGCTTCCGCTTCCAGAGTTGGAAGCGGAATAAATGTGTCTTTCTTCATTTTAGGGGCGACCCCAAATACTTGCTGGTGTCCCTGGAACCTTCTCACAGCTTATTTTTCCCACCAAGTGAGAACCAGCATGCCATGCCCTGGTCTGACTGGCGTCTGAGCATTTGACATCTAAGACCTCCAGTCTTCCCTCGGGTCGGCGGTCACCTTCCGGCCTCCCCACCGCCCCAGCCGGTCATCTCCCGGCAGCTCGCTGGCCTGCCATTTTTATTCACTCGCTTAGACCTCCAACCTCTGGGGTCACAAGGAGGAGGAAGAGGGAGGAATCCACACAGAGAAACAAAAAAAAAAAAAAAAAAAGGAAGAAGAGGAGGAGAAAAGAAAGAAAGAAGGACAAGGGGGAGGAGGAAGAGCAGGAGAAATGCCTTGTTGAAAATTGCTTTAATGACAGGATTCACCAATGAGGTGGACATGCAGCAAATGAGGAACTCCCAGGGGGCTTGGTGTGCCCAAGGTATGAATCAATCTGAACTCTACCTATAGATTGCTTTTTTCTTCTTGGTACAACCCTCCTTGCATTAAACAGTTTTGTTCAATACCTTCCATGTGGTATTTATGTCTCCATTAATATCTGTTGCAAATCCTGCCAGACACTATAAAAGAACATTACAATCTTTTCAGCCTCTGTGCTGCAAGCAAACATCCTTGGTACTCCGAGACAAGCAGGTCCTAAGTAAGAATTAGAAAGGAGAAGGCAGACCACTGCAAACACTCAGCTGCACCTGTTGGTATCGGTTGGCAAAGCCAGGACTTGGGGGAGGGAGGAATGGAAGAGGGGCATTAACAAGCTTAACCCCCAAAGGCTTCCATGCCTACAAGAATCCGAATTTAAAGGAGTCACCCGCTGCAAAGATGCCTGCCATCTTCCTTTCCCTCCAGCTGTGTAATTCGGGGGCATTTCGCCGGAAGATACTGGCCCCAGGAGAGCCAAGCTACTGCTCCCAAGAGGGACCCTGGGTTGTGTAACCTTGAAATGTGAGGCGGGAAAGGGGGAAGGCAGTGGAGGAAATGACACTGAACACAAGGGATACAACTGCCACACACATGGGCACCAGGAACTCGGGTCACCCCAACTAGATGAGCGAGACACCTGGGTGTTCACTAGCATGCTGCTGGCTCCTGGCGCCCGGGGCGCACGAGTCTGGGTGTGCTCCCAGATCTCGCCTGTGACACCCGTAGTCTGCGTGTGAGTCCCCACGAGGGTCCGAGGGAGATAGTCCTCCTGCGTGAATCTGCCACGAGCTCTGGTGTTTAAACACAGGAGTGACTTCCTCCGCTTAGTAAATGTCGTCAGAAGAAAGGGAGCCCAGCGAGGCTTTGGAAAGGAGACAGAATCTCTAGGAAAACAAACCGGGATAGCCGGGAAGCTCGTACAGCTGCTTCTGGTTGACATTAAGAACTCTCTGGGGAGAGCTGCCTGGCCTCACCTTGCGGGGCTGGTCCTTCTTCTGAATGGTGATGAGGTCCACCAGGATTTGACCCCACCCCACCCCAGGGACCAGAGAGAGAGAGAGTTTCGTCTGGGTCATTTTATTTCACCACCTTAATCTAGGGGCTTACAGAAACAAACAAACAGAACAACAACAAATGACAGGGTGGCTAGAGACCCGCTCTACTCCTCGACCAACTTCAGCTCACCTCTTTGGGGGGAGGAGAGGGGAGAATCTGTGTAATACCTGCGTTTCTTCAGAGAGAAGAGGAGCTTAGAGGAATTTTCTAGAAGGGGTGGTGTGACCAATGCCTGGGATTAAACGCAAGATCTCCTACAGGTGGAGGTGGACTTGTTTTTCTGGAGGAAATTACCAACCACGTGGTGGACTGACAGGGGCGGGCAGGTGGGGTGGAAGACAGAAGTCAATCAGGTCGATGGAAGAACCCGCAACTGTGAAGGCCTGCGTCTCTCACACTTCTATTCGAGAAGGAAAGAGGGGCTGGGGGTGGTGGGGAGCAGCTGCCCCCCCCCGCCCCCCGCACTCTGGGTTCTGGTCTTTCCAGACGAGGGTGGGGAATGAGACTTCCTCTGATCGCAATAAATAACAAACACGACGTCTTCAGGACGAGGCGTTCTTCGTGCGTGCGGGGAAGTGATTCTCGGGAGAAGCAAACGTGTTCACCACACCGTCCACTTTTCTCTTTTCCCCCAACTTCAAAGCTGAGTCTCTCCTGGCCTCTCCCTTTCTTCTCTTCGGGCCTGTCTTGGCGCTCGGCGCTGGTCCCCCGGAGAGCTCAGTGGCTAGCGCGTGTGCGGAGCGTGGGAGGACGCAGGCCCCGGGGCTCACGCGGGACTCGCAGGGGCCCCGTCACCACCACCTGTCCCAGATCCCACCCGTGGGAGCCGAGCAGGTGATGGCCCCTCCCCGAGGTTGCGGGACAGCCCGCACGGGGACGTCTGAGCGCCCCCCACCCCTGCCCCGCGCTCCAAGATCTGGAAGAAGGCCTCCCACACGCCGGCGCGGGAATTCGTTTCGCGTGGGGGGTTCTCACGTTCTCCCGAGTTCCCCCCCAAAGCTGTCCCCAACGGCTTTGCCTGGTGGGGAGAGGAAAACAACAACACACCACAAAAATCGATGCGTGTCCTCGCGGCGTGGCTTTGCTGGTTTCTGCCATGGGTTTGGCCTTGGTTCTGGGACGAGGAAGTGGGGGAAAGGGGGGGATTGCTGTGGGGGGGATCGGAAGCTAGAGCAAGACAACCCCCCCTCCCCAGTCCAGGACGCTGCCTCTGCAGTCTGGGCTGGAGACGCCCCACGTCCGGGACGCGGGGCGCGCGCTGGCGGGGCCGGGGTGGGGCCGGGTGGGGCCGGGTGGGGGGGTTCCTTGGCCTTGCACACCGATAATCGGGTGCAGTGAACTTGACATGGCGCCACTGAATGGCAACCTGGCTCGATGAATTGGCCGGCGAGATGCATTTAATCACTGTTAATGCCGTGATGAATCCCAGGTATCCCGGCGCCGGGAAGAAAACTCGCCCGTGTCTTCCCCGGGTGGGAATGAGCCGCGCCCCCCCCCCCCACTCCGAGTCAATCCCTGGGGCTCCAGACTTCGGCCCGGGCCGAGGCGGGGAGTCGGGGTGGGGGGGCTCAATTAGCCCCAAATGGAAACGGTTTCCATTCATTGCTGGAGATCGCTTGCAAAAGGCACACGGTCTCCCGACACGCCGACCCCCCGCGGTGTGGCGGCCGGGGAGAGGCCGGGAGCCCGCGCCGGGCCCGTGGGGGCCTCATTATTAGGAATTAATTGAGTTCAGGACCCCGGGGTAACCTGGCTAAATGAATAGCTCGTCTGATGGTTTACATCCGAATGTTCAGTCCTCGGGAGAGGAATGAAGGGGGGGGGGGGGAGCCGAAGACACGAACCGCGGACCCTAGGGACGACGCGCGCGGGAGTCGGGGAGGCCGAGCCTCCGCGACGGGGGAGGGGGAAAGGGCTGGAGGCGGGGGGCGCTGCGAGAGGGGGGTGGCTCGAGTTGATCTTATTCGATTTTTCTCGTCGGCATCGCTTTTCGGGAGGGGGTGGCATTGAGGGGTTAAAATTTACAAATAAATAAATAAATAATCAAGATCCCGCGTCCCCGGAGCCGCCGCGCGGGAGGAAAAGTGAAAAGAGAGCCCGAGGCGAAAGGAAATTACTGCGCGCCCGCGTGACCTTTCGGGGAGGTAATCAATCAAGTGATCAACAGGGATATTTATCACGGCTCTATAGGACGACTGCACCCCGCGCGCGCGCGCACGCGGCGGGCGGGGGGAGACACGCGCGCATCGCACACGCACACGCTCACCAAAGTTTGAACCACTACCCCCCCCCCCCAGGAGCCGGGACGCACACCCAACACACACGCGTGAGCGTCCGCGTGTCAGGGCCGCAGATCCTCCGCAGGACCGCACACACTCCTATGCATACGCGGCGCCCCCGCCCCTCCGCGCCCGCGCTGGGCCCAGAAAAGCAGCGGAGGGTGGGGCGCACTAGGCGGCGCGGACACCCCGAGACAGACCCCCCGACCCTCGCGCTCTCCTCTTTGGGCGAAATCCACCGTGCCGCCCGGCCCGGCGCGCGTTTTCCACCCCGTTTCCTCCTCCACCTTGTAAACCTCGCGGGGTTTTTTTCCTGTAAATGGCATTTTCGGGCGTGTATGCCTTAGCGCATCACTCGGGGGGGAACGACCCAGCTCTCCACGCACCCGCACACACCCGGACTCTAGAAACGATCGTCAAGGGCGGGGGCTGGGAGAGGCGGGGTCCCGGGCTTC